CTGTTCACCTAGTATGAGAGGTGCTTGATGAGTAGCACTGAACTCCTGATCTAATAAAACTACATTCAACATTTGGCAAACAGAGTAGGATCACCACTGCGTATAAGGTATTCAATGAAAGATAAGATATATACCCGGGGAGAGAGAACAAATGAGGCAGGGGGAAGAGGGAGATAGTGGCAGAGTAGAAGAAGGATATGGAGGGGAGAGAGAAAGAGAGAGAGAAAGGAAGAAAAAAAACAAGACTTCATAATATGGGTGAAGATAGTAAGTGCCAAATGACTATTAAAAACAATAAACGCTGCAGAAACTCAGAGGAGTTAGAGGTTCTGAGGTTTAAAAAAAGCGAAACACCAAAACCATAAATTTCCTCGGGGCGAGAACAAATAGACTACTCTAAGCAGGTGAAGTTTTGGGGTCAAGAAATGGTTTGAGATGGACATGGAAATGCAGATGTTCTGGTACTTGAATCTCAGGCTAAAGACATTTCAGATTCTTCCACTGGCAACCAGGAACTACTGAGAATTTAAAGTGGAACATGATGAAGACAGGGCTTTACAATGGATTGGCTGGGAAGATATTAGAGGCAGGGAGACCAATGAGGCACCCATGTGTGTCTGAATGAGATGATAGATAGCACTGAAGCCAGAGGAAAAGGAAGAAGGGCAGCACTTTGGAAACGAGTAGTGATTTGATTGTTCATATCTCTTTTCTGTCACAGAAGAGAGCATTTATTTTGCAACTCACACATGTGTTCTAAAGCTAGAGAGATGAAAAAATTTTAATATTTTATTTATAGAGGGGAAGGAAGGGAGAAAGAGAAGAAGAAAAACATCAGTTGGTTGCCTTTCACAGGACCTGGCCCTTCCACCCAGCAGGGAAGTGAACCAACCCTTTGGTTCATGGGCCAGCACTCAATCCACTGAGCCACATTAGCCAGGGATAGAGAAGTGAAATTTTAAAGGCCTCAGATAGTACTCCAATAATAGCCTATTGTTGATGATAATCTTACAGAGTTTCAGTATTTCTAAATACACTTTTTAGTAATAAATAGCAGAGTAAACGATTACAGAAGAATACTAAAGTGAGAAGAAAACTTAATGACCATCCAAACCAATTCCCCCTTGTTTTATAGGAGAAACAGAGACGAGGGGAGTTATTTTCCCTTTTAATCAGAAAACACAACTGGTGCAAAAATCCAGGTTTCTTCCCTTAAGAATAATGCTTTGTTTTGTTTTTACACAGTCCTTTACTTCAGCCTCAGTGATCCTACCACCTTTCTTTAGAAGCTAAAAGTGCAGCTGTGGGCTCTCCAGCTGTATAGTTCTCTCTGATTGTGTCACTGAGAAGAAAACAATCAGAAAAGGCCTTTCCAGGATGAGAGAAAGCTCCCATTCCGAGGCAGTCAGTAGCCCAAAACAGAATGGGATTGAGATGCTCAGATTATAGAACAGAGCCCCAACCTGCCCTTGTCCGCATTAACTACTATCGAATATGTTGAAGACCAAACAGTAATTCTAGCTCCAAGATGCTAGAGAAGAGCAATCATTATTGCCATCTTACAGGAAATGGCTGGGTAGCAGGTATGGAGCAGTGGTTCCAGGAAGAGGGCATAGATGGCTTTACCACCAACCCAAAGAAACTTAAACTTCACTAACCTGGGCCCTTCTACACAACCCTTAAGGATAGGATGTGTGAAATAGTTTGCCACCCACTAGAAATGCCTCAATATGTTGGTGACCTGCTTTCTGAGCTATTATAAGTCCAAATGTCCCCTCTTTGGCCATTTTTTCCAAACTATATCAGTAACACTATTAAAAATAGAAGAGATCATGTTTAAATCTTTACAAATCCAAGTAATAGAACTCCTTATCACATCAGTAGTTAGGATGTCTTTCCTCTTAGTTCATTAAGGAATTTAAACAGTTTCTATTGAGATTATATTTCTGAATAACAAGTATTACTTAAGCAGATACAAGTTATATGTTAAATTGAAGTATTTCGTATATATATTTTTGCATGTACCTGTCCTGGAAATATGCTGTAGAACTTAAAAACATGAAAATCTTGATTTCTATTTAGATGGAGATTTATCATTATTTGTGAGATATGTTCAGTATGGTTTCACTTTAAAACCACAAATAAAGTTTTAACAATGGGCATTTTTCTTGTTGAGAGGTCTGTGGTCAGACTGAACATCTCTCTGAACCTGATTAGGTCCTGAGGTTTTCAAATTCAATATTCAGCAAATATAGAACATTTGTTTGGCCATAAGAAATAATTAAGAACATCAAAGCTAATGCAACTCTCCTGAGCCCGCCACTCCTTTCTAATGAGATGATAATAAGACATAACCTGTTCTGGTCTTGGGCCTTGCCATACATGAGACTGAGGCAGAATAAATCATACACGATTAATCTTTTTGAGAATCTAGATGACATTGCTTTAAGGGTTTTTTTAAAAGATGTTATTTATTTATTTATTTATTTATTTATTTATTTGTTTATTTATTTATTTTTAGAGAGAGGGGAGGGAGGGAGAAAGAGAAACATCGATTGGTTGCCTCTCACATACCCTCAACTGGGGCCCACAACCCAGGCATGTGTCCTCACCAGAAATCAAACCTGTGGCCTTGCAGTTTCCAGGCCAACACTCAATCCACTGAGCCACACCAGCCTGGGCTGTTTTAGGTTTTCACAACAGCAAATCCTTCATTTGCTAGTACTCAAGTAATACAAGTTTTATATGCTATTATTTCTTTTTCCTTACTCCCAACTATCCTGAATCTAGAACAGTAGGCACACAGTCATTCCGTGAAGACAAAGGAACATTGAATAGTTAATTATACAACAGCCAGAACTGTCCATTGTGTATTCATTCTTGTAATGTGTTACTGGTGGGTGAATTAGCATGTTTAGTTTGAAATCCTGTAAAATGGACATGGGATTGTCTTAGCTGTTGCACAATTTTATTGATAACTATCATACTTCATGTGGAAGATCTGGCTCAAAATAACACAAGACTCTGAATAACGAGAAGAGGGCTGTCCTACAAACAATCCACATGGCCTGGATACCTCCACTGATGAGCTGTATCTGATCATTTCCAAAATCCACTTTTCCTGTATAAACCCAGTATCACTGTGATTCCGGAGACAGCATTTCCTTATTTGCTTTCTTAGAACTGAATTCTCTTTCTTCCAATGATAGGCGCAAAATAAATCATGCAAATATCACTGAATTGTTTCTGTAGCAGTTTCATGGTGAAAGGAATCTCCAGAGGTCATCTAGTTCATCCAGATGGCCAGTCAGAACTCTCCCCAATACTGAATATAGCTGTATAGTGATCTGCATTAAGAAAGCTTTTAAAGATCCCTAGGGTTGATCAAAAAATAGCTAATATTGGCCTGATTCATAGAACAGCATTATACATGTCAAAATAGCCACCTTCATCAAGGAAGACATCCATCAGGGCTAAGTGCTAGTAGTAGCTTAAAAAAAAAACCACTTTATTTCCCCAAAGAAAAGAGTGGCAGATCAAAGAAATGACCAAGTGTGTCGGTATTTTTTGTTTGTTTGGTTTTGTTTAGGTGTACATTTTGAACGCTTATCAGCAAGGAAACACTGTCTTGTCGAAGACCGCTGCAGGAGAAACCTGAAGGTGGCTGTAAGCAAGCTGATCAAAACTCCTTGAACAAGTCCTTTCAGACAGCTACAGAGCTCAGAGGGGAGGCTGTTGTTTCAAACAAGATCTGATTAGCATGAAGTTAGTGAAGGGAGGACGGCAAACGTAAATAATACTGACAGACTTACTTTTTAAGTGCTTTTTCCCTTTATCAGCTGAGTTTGTTTATAGCTGATAATTTTATTCCTTCAATTCTATCACACTGTGAGTGCAAAGGACAGGAATTTTACTATAATTTCAATCTTCTAAAACAATCACATTACTGTTTTATAAGGAAAGTAATCCTCCACAATCATTAGAGCCCTGAATTATTGGATTTGAGGCACTACTCTAGAATCCAGAAATCCCAACTAAAAGGAGAGCTGAGGTTCTTCTCTGGATTATTTGGGCCTTTAAGCCTTTCAGTTGAATTGTACCAAGAACTTAAAGATATAGCTATAGCTATCTATATAGTGAGGAAAATGACCTGCCCTCACAATTATCCCAGGTATCTACTTGACTTTGTGTATTAACATTACATTTTTCAAATATTTCTGTAAGGTTACATACACAAAAGTTTGGTCAACCACAGGTGCCTTTAGGATTGAAAATTAGGTGGAAATAAGGTTAGAGAAGACTTTTTTTTTTACACATACCCTCATGCCAAGTTTCAAGTTGTGTGCTTGTACTTCTTCCTATGAATTCATTTGAAATAATTTAATTGCAAAAACAGAAATTAGTGTTCTCTTACAGCCAGATATTCAGTCTGGGTTACAGGAAGTAGAAAGCTCTGGCTACTGGCTCCTTTCAGCCTCTTTATAATATTTGACTTTGGAAGTAGGAATCTAACCACTGAGAATTTTTGACATGCAGTTGCATTTCTCAGAGAACACTAATCAACTAGCAAAGTCTTCAGGTCACACCCTTCCTCTACCTTTTCTAAGACCAGGGGTAAAAGAACAAGATCTCCCTACAGTGTCTCCTTGGCATTGCCACAGTGAGCACCAAACCTACCAGGTAATGTGCAGTCAACATACCTACCATAAAACAAGGACACTTAAGGTAATGAAGTAATTCCTAGGTTAGATATTTGGTAGAGTAGGGTTTTTTCTCCCTTAAACTACTCAGAAAATAGTCCCTAATTTGTTTGTGTATACAACCTATAAAGAGTGTTCTTTTTTTTAAGTTATCAACATAAAACAAACTCCCACAGCAGAATGAAGAAATTCCAAATAGAAGAAACTGAATCGGCTTGAAAGAAAACCAAAATGAGAGTAAGGAAAAGCAGAGAGTAGCATATTCTGTAATTTTTTATTCAAAAAAGTTCAAACCTTTCTCATGCCATGACATTAAGTGTCATATATGTTCATTTCGAGCAAGCCTTTTTAAAAATATACATACTGTATATATTTACATTCAAGTTTGAGTAATTGGTGTGACGTGTAGTTCAGGTTCTAATCCTTACCCACCCTGTGGATTTGTTGAGCTACTAACTAAACAGCGATTGTATCTTCATTCAGGCACATGGAGAGGTAGAAATTGCTCCTTAAAGAAAAACAAAACTGGAGTGCAAATGTGAGGATCATCATCGAAGCAGCTTAGCTACATCAAAGAGGCTGAAACTAGCTTTGGTCATCTCAAGAAGCTGAATACATGTAGTCTTGTCCTTTTAATTAAAACCAGAAAAACTTTGGGTTTTGGGGGTAGATGCTCTTTGGAGCACATCAGGGGGTTGGCAGAGTTCTGCAGCTAATGCACTGCCATTCTGCACCCAGGAATTGCATATGACTAAGGCAACATAGCAGCAGAGTTGGGCTGGCAGCTGGGCACGTTTTCCCTGATAAGACACAAATAATACACATATGAGTGGCTTAAGAGACCTCAAATTAATATCTAGACACCCACATAAGTCAACTAAGACACTTTCTTTCCCGAGTGAAACCTCTATTTCCACCCAGGTCCACCTCCATCCCAAACTGAGCTAGTAAGTCTACAGGGTTGGGTTGGCCTATGACTTCTGCAGGCCAAGTTTCCTCAGCCTCATGAGGGCTCTTGGGCCTGAGAAGGGCTCCCCGGGTTCTTGCCTGAGAGGGGAAGTTGGAAAGAAGCCATAGGGTTGGCCAAGGGCAGAAGCCCTTCTCGTTCCCTCTTCTTCTGTTTCATCCTGCGGTTCTGGAACCAGATTTTGACTTGGGTGTCATTTAGCTGCAAGGAGTTGGCTATCTCGATGCGTCGGGCTCGAGTTAAGTACTTATTGAAATGAAACTCCTTCTCCAGTTCTGTCAGTTGCTTAGTGCTGAAATTCGTGCGGATCGCGCTGGAGGGGCTAGCGGCTCCGTATTCGGCGACTTTGCCTGCAACGTAAACACAGAACATCAGCCGGGCGAGAGGACGCGGAGACCGAACACCGGCGAACAGTGGGGCTATAGTTAGAATCATTCACAACGCAGCCCTCCTGGGTCTCTATGAACACCGTCGTGCCTGGAGAAGTGCTCCATGGAGACAGCCCCCCTCCGGCAATTTTCTCCATGCCTGGCACACTTTCCGAGAGTGTGTTCGGGAAACGCTCATGGGATCTGCCTGCTTGGATTACACCTCGGGACGCGTTCCCTCCACAGAACACAAACCGCCGTCTAGAGGGACAGCTGCAAGGTGCTCCCAGCGCAATTCCGCGGAGGCGGCTCCGTCCCCAATCCCAGGAGCGTCCGTTCAAGCTCAAGTACTTACTTTTCTTAGAGGCGTTCCTCTTCACTTTCATCCACTCGAACGTGCTGAAAGCGGCGGGGAGGCCGGAGGCGGGGGAGGAGGACTTGGGGTAGGCGCCAGGGTCCGGGGACGCGGTCTGGAAGGCCCCGAACTGGCCTTCGGCGGGCTCTTTGAGACACGCCGGGAAGGGGCCGAGCTCGCCAAAAGCCGCGCAGTCCACCTGGCCGCTGAGGAGCAAGGAGCAGCCGCCCGAGAAGACGGCCGAGGCAGCGTAGTGGACGTGCGCCCCGCCGTCGTCCGCCGGCCGCCCGAGCGCGCACGGGGAGTCGTAGGCTGGCCCGGGCCCCCGGAAGGCGTAGTCCGCGCCGCCCGCCGCGGCAGGGGGGGCGCCCGGCTCGCAGGCACCCTCCAGGGGGCACGGCGCGTACGGCGGCGCGGCAGGGGGTGGCGCGGGAGTGGCCGGGGGCGAAGACGCGGGGCGGGCCGCGGCCAGGGGCAGGCAGCCGACGAAAGCGCCGTCGCCGCTCCCCAGGGCGAAGGCGGGCGGCAGGGCCACCGGCCGGGCGTCGGCGCGGCGGAACTTGGGCGCGAAGCTAAGCAGGTCGCCGCCCCCCGCGCCGCCGCACGACACGTACTCCAGGTAGGAGCTCATGGTTCCGGCCCACCGACCTGAGCGCGCAGTTCGGGGCTGGGCTGCGGGGTCCTCGGGACCGCCGCCCTCGGCGCTGCTCCACCTTTCTTCTCTACTCGAGATGCCCTCGCCGGCTCGGCGAGGGAGCCGAGGGTAAATAGTGGCTTAATATAGATGCCGGGGTGGCCACGTGGCGCCATCCGGCCAATGGGCGTCTTCCCCGCACGGCCACGGACTCCACGCGCCTGCCCCGCCGCCAACTTTACCGATTCTGATGGAGGTCGCCACCCAGTGGGCCCTGGCCCGGGGGAGAGCTGGCACCGCCCACGGCGGCCTGGGGAAGGGCAGGTTGAGGGCGTGGGGCGAGCGCCTGGGACACCTGATGCCCAGACAGGTACTGGACGAGGTGTGGGAGGAAAGCTGGAGTGGCCTCGCTGGTGAAGACGAGAGGATGGAGGGGATGAAAACTTGTTCTGGGTCAAGTGCAGCTCGTGGCTCAGATGCGGACTGTGGGCGTGGCGGTGTGGAAAGGTTTAAAAGGGAGCTCGGAGCTCGGCCAGTGGAGACGGTTCCTAGCCTTTCTCCAGGGCAGGTGGTTATTCCTCTTTCTTTTTTGCTTTGAGCCCTGTGCGCTTTTGGTTTTCCTGGCACTAGTGTTATTTGTATCCTAAACCTGGAGCAGAGGTTTAATTTTTCTCCCACCGCCCGACTTACGGGACTAAATTTTATACTGTAGGTGCTGAGTACCTGGGAAGGCAGTCTTTTCACTTTCAGACTTCCCACGGTACTTCACAGCATTCCCTTCATCTTCTTCACCCCTTGTGTTGGTGGCGGCATACGTGCGAGTGTTGAAGTGCCAAGTTTTGATTTGGACAGAAGATACAGTTTCTGCCTTGTTCGAAAGTTTAGCTGATTTCCCCCTCTGACTACGGCTGTCAAAATAAAGTCTGCCCTTGTGATGGAGCGCTCCTAGTGCTCCTGTCTGGGAGGCTGGCACACGCACTGGTGCTGGCCACGCTTTCTCCTAGGCACTTGGCTCACAGGCGCAAAGGCTTCCCAGTGACGGGTCAGATCTCAAAGGTTTGGACAGGCTTGTACCTCGAAGCAATTAAAGCTTCTATTCCATCAGATAAGTGCTGCGTCGTCTCTGGCGAGTGTAATCTGAGGGCTTACAATGTTAATGGGCTCACGTCTTTCCCTTGATAATATGGTTTTGTTTACTGAGTGTAGAGAGACGGGAAATAAAAGTGCAGTTGGCACAGGAAATGAAGAGTAGAAGGGTCACGAAGACACTATTTACATTGACAAACTTTCCAACTTCCTTGAATATTTCTTTTAATGTTTCCCTCTTTAGGGCTGTAGGAAAATAACAAATTAAATAGGTGTTATTTACACACAGCAGTAATGAAAGAGGGTGGTTTCCTAAAAATCTGTGTGAATAAAGAGTGTACTCTGGGCTTTTCAAGTGCCCTTGAGAACTTGATCTATTACAGCCTCTGAGTTATGGTGACGGCGGTTTTATTATTGTTTTACTGATCCATTTGTCATGAAAGAGCAATTGAGCCCTTGCCTAAAATTCCAGTCTGAGGGAGTCTGCAAAATAGGAGCCATCACAGTGGAAGGAGCCAGTTCCTTACCGTGATGTGAACTTGTGAATAAACAAAGCCACACCAAACTGTTACTGCGGGTAAAGCTGAAGTTGAGCCACGATGGGGGAGGGTTGAGCCCTGGTGGTTTCTGGGGCAGGTAGAAAGGAACCAGCACAAAGCTGAAGGGACCTGGGATTCCTGCACTGCTGGAGTGCTTGAATTTCATTGGAAAATAGAATCCTATGCTGAAAATAACATTTCAAACTTGATGTTGCCACTTTAGTTTTCCTCTGTAACCAATCAAATGATGAAGGTCCTAAATAGTTTTTTAAAGGAGAAAAATAAAGGTATTTCTCTAGCACCCTGGGCAGGAAATGATAGAGCTCTTCAGAGCTAGCTGTGGCTTCAAATGTAGATGCATTTCTTCACTGCCCTTCCTCTGCACCCTTCATGCCACAGTATCAGCAAATCAGGTGCTGCTGTGTTTACTGTGCCCCGATAGCCATCCCTGGCCACACTTTAATAGCCATTTTTTTTACCAGCATAATGTCTCACCCAGCTCTTACACTTCTATCAGAAAAACATAAGGCCCTCTCTCAATAGGCACTCATCAAATGACTATTCCTAGGCCCAGAAACCCCAGAGGGTCAAGAAGGGAGTGTAGCCTTGTAAACCTCTCTGTAGGTGTCCAGCTGCTGCAACCCAGGATGTAGGACAGAAAACCCAGCTTGATTGTCTGGGAAGTTTGGCCAAAGTCTAACAAATTTAGAGCCCTTTTCTCTAAGATTTCAGGAAAAACAGGCAGCCTAGGTTCCTTGGCAGCCTGCATTGCAACAAGGACCAGGTTTTTGCTATTGAGCATTTGGGGCAAAAGTTGGACCCTTCCTGTCAAAATTAAATACTGACTTTGATGTACTTATGAGCTTTCCACATTATTTCACTGAGGCAAATTTTTGGACATTGAGCTTTTGCTGAGGGAAAAGAATGAGATTTTTAAACTTGAGTAATTTTCACAACTGTGGGTGAGGTGTTCACTCTTTGTTCAAACTCTCTGATAAGTGCATCCAGGGGAATACAGTCTGTCCATCCTTCCTTCTACTCTCTTTAATATTCCAGTCTTTGGCAGATCCTACACCTTGGGGTGCAGAGTTGTCATCTCCACTCTCAGACTGGTTCTTGACTTGCCAAGTTCTCAGTCAAGACTCTGGTCATCTCAGCAAACGTTTGCCAAGGACTTACTATATTATTTTGTTGGGGGAGGGTTAGGCTGGAGAGAAATATTCATAATCCAGAGGAACAAGGGGTTCATTTCTCGCACAAGTCTTAGCAATATAATATAAATATTATATTTATATTTAATATTGGGTAGATATTAAATCTATCTGGGTAGATAATATAAATCTACCCAGCCTTGGGTGATGTGGCTCAGTGAATTGAGTGCCAGCCTGTGACCAAATGGGCTGTGGGTTCAATTCTCAGTCAGGGCACATGCCTGGGTTGCCAGGCCAGGTCCCCAGTAGGGGGTTCATGAGAGGTAACCACACATTGATGTTTCTTTCCCTCTCCCTTTCCCCTCTCTCTAAAAATAAATAAATAAAATCTTTAATATATATATATATATATATATATATATACACACACACATATATACATATACACACACACACATATATATATATACTTCAGAAGAACTTGTGTCTGTAGTTTTCTAAGGAGAAATTGGAAGATACTGGGGGAAGTGTGTATTGAAAGATGTGAATGCAGAGTATTCTGAGTAACTCTAAAGTTTGTCTTCCAGACGTTCACAGGGCACAGGAGAGATGTCTGACCGATTCTATTGCTTGTTCAAGTCATGAATTCCCAAGGGTCACTTGCCCTGTGGTACCCTGGCCTGAGAGTCCTCAGCAGGAGGTGATAGCAGAGGGGCCTGATTGCCAGGTTGTGTTTGATGTAGGAATGCTTTGAAATCTTTCTTGTCCTACTTACCACAGCAGCCACCTCCTGCCCACTCCCCAGACTAGTTTTCTCTCCCATTTCGAAAGGACAGGCTTCTTTTCTGCGGACAGAAGTGATAGAGCATGGCAGTCTGGTCCTCCTTGTATTTACAGTTGTTCCTAAGACGTCTCTTGGCAACCCTCTCCACAAGCCCCACCATGTTATACCTTGGAAACACTTGAGCACATGCAAACTGTTGGTTCCACAGCCCCAAAGCCTAGAAAGGCACTTGCTTGTTAGGGTGAAAGGGTGGAGCGGGGGCCTTTCCCAGAATGGCGATGGGGATGAAGGGGATCCTAAGGACAGGAATTCTAAACCTGTCAGGAGTCTGATAATATGAACCTGCCTCTGGAAAACAGTTTCAGGTTTTCCCTGTGCCATTCCCTGAGAGTTCTGTGAATGGAAGGCTCATGGGTTAAGCTTGTGCCTAGCACATAGTAGGCTTTCGGGAAATGTTTGGGCAGAAATAAAGAGGACACAGAATGGTGTGTCTTCGCCATAACTAACACTATCTAAATGATAGCTTTAGATATTTGCTCCCCAAACCACTTCATGTGGGTAGGAATCACCAGAGGAACTTGTTTAAAAGTGGGGTTCTTCAACCTACACCTAGAGATTTTCATCCAGTTGGTCTGACTCAGGAGTCTATATAATTTTCTAAAATTTTATTTATTTACTTTTAGAAAGAGGGGAAGGGAGGGACAAAGAGAGAAACATTGATGTGTGAGAGAAACACTGATAGAGAGGCAGCTCTCACATCAATGTGAGAGCTGCCTCTCTCGTACCCCCAACTGGGGACCTAGCCTGCAACCCAGTCATGTGCCCTGGCTGGAAATCAAACCAGCCAGTCTTTTGGTTCACTGAGGCTAGTGCTCAATCCACTGAGCCACACCAGCTAGGATAGCAGTCTGTATTTTAATCAACCTCTTGGGTAATTCTGAAGCAAAGTTCTTTGGAACCACACTTTGAGAATTTCTGCTTTAGGAGCTGCGTTAAGGCAACAATATCCGGGAAGAATGGTTATTTTGTGGGAGGGACCCTGGAGCCAGCAAGATGACAACTCATGGCTAGTTGGAGTATGAATATACCTGAGAAGTGTCTCGTAGTCTTTAGGATAGTTGAGGCAGAGAGATCAATGTCAAGGTCAAATTTAAATCTAGTTGAGTGGAAGTTCCAGGAAATATCCTTAAAAAGTAATCAGTAGGAATTTCCCAAGTTTTGCTGACAAGATAGTACTTCGCAAACTGGGTTCACTTCCTCTCTTTGCCTCTAACTTGGCTTTGATGATGCCAGTGGGATAAGAAGTAAAAGAGATCTGTCTCTCCCAATCTCTTCACAGAAAATTGGGACTCATTCTGAGGCAGTGGGCAGAAGAAAGGAGTGGGAATAGGGGTTTCAAGAGGGAGGAGCCAACCCTCATTTCTCCCACCTCTGCCAAGCTGTCTAGAAGCAGCAGCTGAGCCTCAGGGATCCAGAGAGGAGGAAATGCCCCTTGGACTAAACTGTTTCCCTTCTGCTGGCTAACGGCTGGCCTTTCACAGCAT